CCGACAGAGCTGACTGTGTCAAGAGGTAGGTTCCTCGTGTCTAGTAACACTAAGCCCCCTACTTTAAATACACTTAAGTTTCCTCTTCCATGTTTGTCCGAGTACTCCTTTTGTCTATCCTGGTCCGCTGCCATGGCATCGCGGACCCTGCTGATAATGTTCAGCTTGGTATCCATAAAGGATTCCACTGGTCTCACATCCGAGACCTGGGAGATAAGGGCTTTGCGAGCCTATCTCCCACCTAGATTAGAGGATGCAGTGTCTCCTGGAAGAGTGAGAGGCACTTTGGGGGATGGAAGCCGTTCAAGTAGAATGGCGTGAGCCCCGTGAACACGTGCACAGCGTTGTTGAGTGCAAACTCAACAACCGGAAGCTGCGCCGACCCACGTACGTGGTGCTGCCGCGCACACACTGCGCAGAGTGTCCTCGAGCACTCGATTGACGCGCTCTGTCTGGCCGTCTGTCTGTGGATGATCCGCAGTGGACATCTGCAGACGAGTTCCCCGTAAAGGAAACAGCGTTTTCCAAAACGCAGCCGTGAACCGCGGGTCTCGGTCCGAGACAATCGTCTCCGGGAGACCGTGATAGCGGAACACGCCATCGACGAGCAATCTTGCGGTTTGTTCGCCCGTAACAGTGACGGGAACCGGAGCCAGATGGTACATCTTGCTCAGCCGACACACGAACACCAAAATTCCGGTGTTGCCGTGTCCGTCGGCGGGAAGCCTAAAGAAGAAGTCAAGACTCATCGACTTCCAACAGTCAGCCGGGACGGGCAGGCTCTGTAGTGGAGCCGAAGAGTGCCCTGCGGGTTTAATCCGCTGACATGTTTCACATGTCTTCACGTATCGGGCGACCCACGTGTACATGTGGGTCCACCAGAAGGCCTGAGAGACCGACAGAAAGGTCTTCTCGCGGCCCAAGTGGCCGCTAGAGGGCGATTCGTGCGCCTCCGCGATGATGTCGAACTTCAGATTCTCGTCGTTGAGTACGATCACCCGTGGAGGTTCATTGGGCTCCACCCGGTAATAGAGGAGGCCATCCTTCAACTCATATCGGTGGAGCCGTGAGCGCTGTCGCAACGAGAGCTAGTCGGACTTCGCGCTCGTTCCTGCCATGAGGAACTTGACGATAGGCGCGACAGCCTCATCGTCCCGATACGCCATGCGTATCCGATCATATAGTTTCGTTGTCACCCGTGTGATGTGGGCCAACGCATAGTCAGGACGCCGAGAGCGAGCGTCCACAAGCCCGTTGAGCTTGCCCGGCTGGTATTCGACGCGGAAGTTGTACTCCGCGAAGAAGGACCGCCACCTCGCCATCCTTTGGGAGAGGTGAGGCGAGTTAGTCGCCGTCCTCAAGGATGCGTGGTCTGTGTAGATCACGAAGGGCCGGGAGCCCAGAAGGTGAGCACGGAACTTCACAAGGGCATATTTCATTGCCAGGAGCTCCTTGTCGTGGACAGGGTAGTTCCGTTCGGCCCTTTTGAGCTGCCTGGACTGGAACGAGATGACTCGTTCATGTCCAGCCGTGTCGGCCTGCAGCAATGCACACCCGATGGCGTAGTCGGAGGCATCGCAGACGACGCTAAACGGCTTCGTCTCGTCAGTCAGGGCCAGGACAGGGGCCCCTTGGAGACTGGCCTTGATGCTGTCAAAGGCATCCTGGTGCTCTCGCTCTCAGTGCCAGTCGACGTCTTTCTGAAGGAGGTCCGACAAGGGCTTGCAAAGCCCGTGTACCGCGCGCTGTACTTGTGAAGGTAGTTGGCCAAGCCCAACCACTTATGGAGATCCTTCTGGGATCGGGGCGTTGGCCATGCTGCTATGGCTTTGACTTTGTCTGGGTCAGCCCGAACGTCCACGTTGCTTACGAAGCAACCGAGAACTTTAATCTCTAATGACGCGAAAACGCACTTGTCGATGTTGGCGTAGAGCTTGTTTGCTCGCATTACGTCCAACACTCGACGGAGGTGTCCTAGATGCACCTCCATGGCCGTCTTGCCTCCCTCGACACGGCTATAGACGAATATGTCGTCGAAGTACGTCTGTACGAAGGTACGCAAAGGGCGGAACAATTGCGTCACCAGGCGATTGAACGTCGCCGGGGCGTTAGACAAGCCCTGCGGCATGACGAGCCACTCCCAAAGCCTCGTGCCGCACACCTCGAAACGGTGGGAGTTGGGTCGGTGGGTGTTTGTTCACCACGTCCGCATACTCCGTCAATAAGGATACACCGGATCCTTGGGGTTCTTAAGAATCTCATAACCCAAGCGCGTCTGACGCTGCTTGTTTAGGTAATCCAGAACGTTCTCGCCCAAGACAGAGGAGGAGTTCAGCTCCTCCCGAGTAGTCTCAGGTCTCATGAGCACCGTCTCAGCAACCTTTTCAGCCTTGAGGTTGGCCAGGAAAGACTCGACCGTCATTTCCTCGAGGCTCAGTATCTCTGCAACCTCTGGAAACGGCTCCAAGTGGACACCAGATGCCTTGAAGGGTAAACCGGTCTCGCCATCGAAGATGTGATAACACTCTTCCACCGGCCTTGTCGGAGGAGCCCGAGCCCTGGACCCCGAGTCGCTTGAAGCGACGTCGTCGTCGACAGCGACCGTGACGTGGAGCTTGCTACCCACGTCTGGGGATGTCGGTGCTCCGACATCCGAGGCACTCGTGGCCTCGTGTGGTACTGTGGTACCCACACAGGAAGCGTGTTCGACGCCTTCCTCTTCAGTTAAGGTCTGGGCGACCGCGTGTGGCACTATGTTACCCACACAGGAAGCGTATCCGACGTCTTCCTCTTCAGTTAAGGTCTGGGCGACCGTGTGTGGAACTCTGTTACCCACTCTGAACACGCTGTTCTCAATGTTCGTGACAGCTGCAGCTGTCTGCGGAACTAAGTTACCCGCTTGTGGACCTAAGTTACCCACTTGACCAGCGCCTCTTTTGGGCGCTGCCATCATCAAAACATCCTCGGAGTCGTCATATACGTCGACGACTCCCAAGCATCTGCCGGATGCTTTGGTACCCTGGCAGCCCTTGCGGGTGCCCCGGGTCCTGACAGGGGTGGGAACATGACTCACCAATGCTCTGTCGGACTGCGCAGGGCGGCTGGCACCGATGGCCTTGCCTCGCCAGTCGATCCAGGGCTCGTGCTTCTCAAGCCAGGGCATGCCCAGGATCATATCGTACGGATCCATGTCAAGAACAGGGAACTGTTCGAGGCTGGCAAAGTCTTCAAACTTGACGGCCAGATCCACGTGGACGTTGGGACAGTGACGACCTTCCCGTCGGCCAGTCGCACTGCTACCGTTCCGTTGCCCTTGCTTTCACTCAAAGCATCGGACAACTTGTTGCTGCTAGGAGCAGCCGTCTGGCGGCGTGCGAAATGCTTCGACGCCCCAGAATCGATCAAGATTCTAAAGGGATGATCGTATCCCCGTACACATCCGTGTACTACGAGCAACCCGCCGCTGCTCTTCGCCGATTCGAGAGTGCGAAGACTCTCAGGGGCTAAGTCCCCGTGGTACGCGCCACCCGCGCACCCATCACGAAGACTTAGCTCTTCCCCAGTAGGGCGCCCCGCCCCTACTGGTTCCCGGCGTTCCCCTGTCCCCGGGATCCTGGCTTCGGCCAGCGACCCTTGAGGACGGGCTTGGGGAAGGACCGTCTGCAGAGTCTTTCCGCGGGACAGTCGCGCTTGAAATGGCCCATCTTCCCGCAGCCGAAGCAGCGGATGTAGTACGCTGTTCGGCGGACCCGAGATCCATGTGAACTGGTCCGTTGGGGCTTGTTCGACCGGGAGCCGACAAGGAACTCCCAGGCCACGCTGAGGCCGGCGTACGCGCCTGGCGATGACTGTACTCTTCTTGGAGAGCTACTTGAACCGCCTCTTCAAAGGTGTTTGACTGCACCCGGAACTGCTATCTGCGTGCGGTGCCCACTCGAAGCCCGTCCATGAACACAGTCATCTTGATGTGCTCGTTGAGTGGGTTTCCCACTAGGGATGCCGTGAGCACCCGTATCTCTTGCACGTACGCGTGCAGTTCACGCCTCCCTTGGTTGCACGAGAGGAAGCGCGAACGCTGGCGGTACTTGTAGTTCGCCGGGAGGAACGCGGCTCGGAGCTGTTCACACAGCTGAGCCCAGGATGTGAAACATCCAGGGGATGTTGCTTCCCGTGTGTACACCCAACTCTTAGCACGGCCGCTAAGGTTGGAGAGTGCAAAAGCAACACGAAGTTGCTCGGTCGAGATCAGAGCCGCGTCCATCGCGAGCTCTACTTCTCGGACCCAGAAGTGAAGGTTCTCGCCTTCCTTCCCTTCATACGGCTTAATCTTCAGCCGTATTGGCTTCGGGTGAGGCGGATTTACTTCCGCCGCCGGAGCCTGCAGGTTCTCCCGCACATGCGCGATGAGCCCCTGCTCGTACGCGTCAAACGCATTGACGCGTTCGAGCTGCTCGGCCGGTGTTGATACCACCAGGCTCGGCAGGGTCTCCATCCCGAAGATGCCTGCCATCTTCCGAACCGACTCGAACTGAGAGTCGTTCATATGGGAGAAGTCGTTCCTATCCATGGCAACGAACTTCGGAGAGGTTCAGGTAGTCTACCCGCGGTGGCGTGGATTGACTACGAGTGCTACCAAATGTGACGGGGTCACACAGCACCTTGCGCTAGAGGAAGTTAGCTTCCGAGAGTATACAAACTCTCAGTGAACGGCAGTTCACAGGTGCCCTCTTTATTATAGAGAGCGAAGTGACCTATTTAAGGTAGAATATAAACTGAGTATATTTATAGGTAGATAACGCTTGGGTTTAATACAAACTATAAGTCACCTATAGAAATGCAATGTCACCAGCCAATGGTTGGCTTTGGACGACCTTGGTACTTTGTACCAAATATCCCGAAGTATGACGTGTCATACTTCTGAAGTGTGAGGTGTCTCACTTCGTGTAACCAGGGCACACTTAGGGCTACGTACCCCGTTACAGTTGGCATCATTCGCCAAGATGCCAGCAGGACGAAAGAGCGTGGAAATCAGCATTAAGAGGCAAGATATCGACTGGATTGTCACGGAGGGTGGTGGTAGCCGACTCTCGCGGAGTTTCATTTCCGCCAGCGCGGGTGGCGCAATACAGCAGCGTGCTTCCGTAAGTGGTGGCGCCAGCGAGAGGAAATCCTGGCTGCCAGCGGCAGTCACCGACGTTTTCATTGAGCTGGACGGCGTCCAGTTCTCGGCGAGGCTGAAGACGCGCTTGTGAATTTAACCTACAACCGCCGGCTTAATAAGGAAAAAGTCACCAGGGACTGGATTGCAGCCCAAGCGCGGTTGATGTTTCATAAGAGCCGTTCCGAGGAAGAACACGAAGAGCATCCGATCCGTTTGGTAGCTTCCGACCCATGGGTAAGCGCATTCATGCAGAGAAACAGCCTCAGTCTTCGGCGTCGTACCAGTCTCACTACGCTCACGGACGATAAGTTGGTTGGTCGTGTGATATCGTTTATGCGCTTCCTAACGGAGCACAAGCCCTCCGCGAACTTTGGGAAGACGGTATTCATGGATGAAACTGCTATCTATTTCGAAGACCCTCGTGTCGGTTTGCTCGACCGACTTTGTATCAATGCGTATTTCCGCAGAATTGACAGTACCGGCTTCTAGAAAAAATCTGCCTCCGTATCTAATTTGGAAGCAAATGACTCGTGGGCCGATGGAACGCCTCGGTGACTGCTACGTTTCTTTTCAACCGCGTGCTTGGGTCGACCAAGAGCTACTGCTTCAGTGGCTTGGCTGGCACTTTCCTGCTGTTACTCAGTTTGAAGGGCAGGGGGTCGTGTAGGTGCCCACATAGGCAAAAGTGTGAAGCAGCGATGTGAGGTCAAATCGATCAAGATGGCTGTTATTCCAGGCGGTCTAACCCCTTACTTACAGACATGCGATGTTGGCATCTTTGAATCGTTCAAAGATCGCATGGACGTTCTGATAGATGCCTGGAAGAGATCGGATCAAGTTGCGTACACGCGGGGGGGGGATCCTAAACCTCTTTCCTTTGAAATGGTGATGTCCTGGGTACCGACAGTATGGTGTCAGATGCCAGATAGTGTGGTACAAAAGAGCATCGGTAAGTGCGTCTTCAATGACGATCCTGATTCCTGGTTCATCACAAGACACAACGTCAACGGTACGCGATTCCGTCAGGAGTGGTCTGTGGTATCGCTAGATGATCAGGCCTTGTGTAGCATCTCCAACAACAACGCAAATGAGGACGAGGTTGACGAACTACTTGACGCCTTTGACGAAGTGTGGATCGAGAACTAAGTTTTCTGCTTTGCGTTCGCCTAGCCTAATATAACAATCCATCTAGCTGGAGTTGATGGTCACTTACCTTGTCAGAATTACCTGCTTTTTTCAGTGGTCGACCTGACTTCCGTTTTCCGCGTTAGGAAATAGAGCCCCATCAAATAGAGCGTCATACCTCCACTTTTAGGGTCCTTTATAACTATAGTGGACTATGCACTAATACCTATTCTAAGTTTTAAAGTACTGCACGCCTTTTCGCGCCCTTGGACCTTTGATAAAATTGTGGATGTGATGATCCTGAATCCAATTGAACCATAAGATGTAAGATAAAATCTGATTTTTTAGAAAATCCGATATGGTCCACCCCCGCGAAAACGGGGTGCAGCACTGTACTTTAATAGAGGCCCCTACATATATTTATGCTAAATTGTGACATCATCGGCTTCTTCAAACCCAACACCAAAGCCCACCCACCCTAAGAAACAGTGTCACCCACCCGCTTAAATCTCAAACACTGGGTTCTGGCGAACCTTGCCCTTACCGTACTACAATACTGTACGTTTCCGTAAAATTCTCATTTTAAAAAAAATGACGTGAAAATATCGTTAAAGCTACTGGGTCGGTAGAACATCGAATTAAGTACGATGAATTGGAGCCGGTTATTTTCGACAAAGAAAAGAAATAATCAAATGGCGAGGGAGAAAACGACAGCGCCGGCGACGGCAGCGACGCTACGTCTAGCGGGGGGGGGGGGGGTATCCCCGAGAAAGACCGACGTGGTGACAAGGGCGACAGGGGTGACGGCACACGCAACGACGTGGGGAAGCTCGGCACCGGCGACGAAGGCCACGATGGGGGGAGGGAGGTACAGGAGAGGACGTGGGAAAGGTCCACTCCGACGACGTGGAGAAGGGCGGTACCGGCGATGAAGTGGAGAAGGGCGGCACGGACGTGCTCGTGTCTGTGCGTGCTGCGAAGGTGGCAACTGCGGCGCAAGACGATGAAGGTGGGTATTGTTGCTTTATTTATTGTTGCTTGTTATCTAATGTTGCTATTGTAAAAACAATCCGGTGAAACCTGTGCCACGTGGCTGCGCAAAGGGTGGTGGGGCCGCACGTGACGCCAGCGATGACTTGGGGAAGGGCGGCCCCGGCGACGTCGGCAATGGCAGTCCCGAGGTTGGGCAAAGTAAACACGGTGGTGGCGGAAGTGGATGTGCTGGAAATGTAAACACTAAGGGCGGGCGCAGAGAAAAGTTTAAGCGTGAAAGTGAAGAAGCTGTTGGAGGTCGTGTGAAGAAACGTAAACAGCTTCGACCTTATTCTCCGTATGAACCTGGCCAGAGCCTTCTTCTGATGCTGAGGTTGAAGAAGAAAATGGTGGAAGAGACGAGTGAAGAAGAGAAGGAGAAAAAAATTGACTTTTTCAGTGACGACGAAGATCTGCCGCACCACTTTTTATTCGAAGACGAGAAGCCACCACGGGAGCGCGCTAGCAAAACAAAAGGCGAGCGTGATGGCCTGGCTGCAGCTCACGCTAGTGTGTACAACCATCTGCCCCTGGTCACGCGCAAAAGCTACGCTTCGTTGTACATGCTTACGATGACTACTGCATTTTGAATGACGTTAAATTTCGGATGCGGACCTCCGTTTCCATAAACGTCTACAACCGGTGCGCTATTGTCTGTTTATACTGTTTTTAACTACTCATATTACTTACTTTTATTTGCAGTGAGCCCGGCGTTAACGTAAGCAAGCCGAGGTTCAGGGGTTTCGTCAATTATCAGTGCAAGCATGATGTTCACCAAGAGCGACGCGGAAAAGGTAAGAGAAATACAGACGTCAATTTTACGGGCTTGCGTGCTCGTTTTGACCTGGTTCTAATGGACGTGACATCGCCTGGTGAGCGCTCCCGACACCGATTTGTGGTCATGAACGAGTGGACATGCAACAAGGAGCGCAGAAAAAAATATCTGGGGTAAAGGATCATCCTTTGCAGCTGTGGGCCGATGGCTAACACTGTCGCGGCTCTTTATGAGGTCAACGTGTCGTCGGGAAGAATTGCTGGTCTCATGAGTGAAGAGCTGGGTGTGCAGATTTGCCGATTTTAATTTATGTTTGTTTTTTATTGTAGAATTTTATAATGCTATTTATAACATTTTCTAATGAATTCGTGTTGCGCTGTATTTATTTAATAGGATGCTCGGTTAGCTCACAGCTCGCTCGAAGTTTCATCAGAAAACTTCAAAATCGAAGCCGGTATACACAACGTCGGATACCATCTCGGTAAGTGGTTTATCAACGTTGACTTAAGGTTAAGCAGCGTTATTAGCGTTGCAAAGCTAACATTTGCATAATTCTTATACGTCGCAGGGATTTTGGCGGCAACAACGCCTACTGGTCGTGCTGGATTTATTTACTTCAAACCAGCAAACTATTACCATGAAGAAAATATTTGGATACTGCAAGGAGATCAATCCGACGTGGCCAAAAGTCTCATATTTTGTGATCGACAAACATTTCGTTAAGTGGGGCGTTATGGAGGCGTGCTTCCCAAGTGCTGACGTGTTGCTATGCCAATTCCATGCCATCATGTATTGGAAGAGGCTAGTATGTAGCCGCTTTAAATTGAAGCTTGAAGATCAAGACAAAGCCCAGTGTTTGTTTGCAACGATGATGTATAGGTATGAACAATGTTACAGCTTATCTTTCTGATCTCAAGTGTAATCGAACAAAGTTTCGCATGTTTTAGAAATCAATGTGAACAGTTTGACCAAGCATACAAGGAATTCTGCTCGTTTTGTGAAAACGGTCACAGCGGTGTTCGTCTGAATTTTGATAAGAATTGGAAGGGCTATCGGAAGATGTGGTCGAATTACTTGCGCAACAAAGTGCCCTTCGCTGGTAACACTACCACGAACCGCATCGAATCAAATTGGAACCTGCTGAAACAGCTCCTTGAAAAAAAAAAACAGCAGTGGGCCAGGCCGTAGCCACGCTCCTAAGACATCAGACCAACATTTCAAGGCAATTTTTGCAGGCGATACACCGACACAACAGCAGATTTCGAAATCGTGACATAATTCCGGTTTTTTTGAGACGCGCTGCTGCGCTCATAAGCGATTACGTTTTACCGAAAGTCCGACGACAATGGGATCGTTTTGTGGTAACGTTGGAGAAGATTTCGTGTGAAAAACGCAATGATGAGTTGTCGATTTGGGATGTATTCGTTAGTTTCAAAGTATACACGTGCAATGATCTTGACTGGACCTGCACCTGCTTGTTCGCGACGAGCCACGCACTACCATGTCAGCACATCATGTTCATTTGCCGGTACGGACATGGATTTGAAGAGATGCCTACCATGACAGTTTCGCCTCGTTGGAACATGACTGATACGTATAGGGTGTATAGGCAGCTTGAAGAGGGTGTGTTGTCATTACAGTCGGTAACTAGCTCTGTAACGCTGCGCAATACAGCTCAGTCTGTCACACATTGTAGTGCAATGTTTTTGCGCAAAAGCAGCGTTAGTACAATAAAAGTGGAGCAACCCCCAATGCTCGTGTGGAGTTTGTAAGATTTCGGCGACAAGAAAGTGGTAACGTCGTGCTATTGCCCTCCGAAGAGAAGTACAATCTAGCTAAGACAGTATTTGAGGCTGTCTTCAACCACCTGCAAAGTCTGTCTAGCGCGAAATTCTACAAGGAGTTGGAAAACTGAAAAACAAATGTAGCTAAGGCGATGGAGACTAGTTTTTATTCCACAGTTACCACCAATGAAGACACTTCCAGCGGTAAAGGGAGTATTAAATCTGACGACGACTAGCAAGACGTTGACACGATCGGTTGTTCGGGTGAGCTGGCTTGTTCAAGATTGGTCAAAGGTATCGAGACGGCCTGTCAAACTGTTCGCGGCTGAAACTGGATCCAACGGCAAAACGGCGCCAGCCGTCAAGCAAAAGCTTGTCCAGCTGGCCGAGGATCTGCAGAGGTGACGCAAGCAAGGAAATTAGCTTTGTGATGTAGTCGTGGGATATTTGGCGGATGGGGCGTGGCTGAACGATGCCGTGCTAACCTATGCACTAGATCTCATGACCGAGACAATGTACACGTATTGTTGTCGCTCGCTATTCTGAGCGAGAGCTTCCCGACCCCTCCACGTCGGAGCCTTTTCTCAATGAAATTCATAGTACTTCCAATTAACAACTCCAATGCACATTGACCTCATGACATGGAATGTATCGGTCTACATGCGAAATACGGTACGGCAACAAGAACTTGTCCCACATTCAAGTTGAAATTGTATTGAATTTAGCTATCTTGGTCTCATACCTTCTTTCTACCCTGTACAATAGTTTTCCTATATTCATCTGCATCTATAGACTTGGTCATAGATGTGCTCGTAATTATTCAGAGCAATCTCAGTCGCATAACCTTAGCGACATCCTTGCTCACGACGTCCGCAGTAGCCCCCCCCCCGTCCTCCATGAATGAACGAGTAGGTCATAGCAGCCACCATTATTCCACAACTTCTTTAATCTGGCTGCGTTGGCGATCTCTCCCAATTTAGCTCAGTGTTGTCCGGAAAGGGAATTTCTTCCGGCTCTCAAACACACCACTGCGCGTGCCACGCCCGTAGATATGGCAAAAGTTTCGCTGTCCATAGGTCGTCCGCGTTACCTTTGTAGCGATCGTTGCAAAGAGGGTAGTAGAAGTGCGGGCACAGCACACCATGCCTTTCCACGACAACCGCCATAAGCGTTGTATAGGCTCCCCTTCAAAAATGATGTTAAAAGCTGAAGAATCAAAATCTCTATTTGTAGACAGCTGTCTCTTCGATGAAGAAAACAATTCTCTATTTTTAGACAGTTGTCTCTTCGATGATGTCCTGAACGGCGAGGTCATCACTTTCATCTACCGGTTGCCCTTCCAGTAGCGAGGGTTTTTCGAGTTGGGTCACCAACTGACTCGACGCAATGCAGCTCGCACTCGGCTCCAGCTTACTTCGCTTGAACCCATTAGAAATTGAAGGGCAGGAAGTAATATTTCACGCATGCTGAATCCAGTCACATACCAGGATCCTGTTGGGTCGACGCAGCTTTTATGTTGTGCCAGCAGCTCATCGACATCCGCTGGCTGCGAGACAGCGGTCGCGCTCTTCGGCACATTCATTAGCACTACGTTGATTGCTTTTGTACGATGCGGCGGCTAGATTAGGATAGAAGTGAGAAATGGTGGCTCGCATAGCTCCCGTCGTCTTTAACATCACTAGAACCGCGAGCTTCTTGTCGACTGATTCAGCATTGAGCTTGTATTGCTGCACGTGGCGGCTACGTCCTCCTCGTCGGGGTCTCCCTTTTGGCTTGACACGAGCCATTCGCTTGTGGTGAAATCTCTGAGATTTGATCGTCATTATTTCATTTTAGTGTCGTGTATCGCTCGTCATGCGATTTCCTGGGTTCTTAGCTCTAATCAATGATTCGCAGCAGGGAGGGTGTATCGCTCTAGTAGCGGTATCGGTCTCAAGCGAAATACGGTAGTTACACTGCTGTCAGCTTGATAACGCCAACATCCGTTAAAGCGACGATTGCTACATCAGTTCATCTGCTGTCCAGTCAATAACGTCATCCACGGTTAAATCAACGCTTCAACAGGAGAAGTACGGCGTTCTTAGTCGTGTGGCACTTTTGGCTGCCCAGATTGGCTCTGTCATCGCGGGTGAACGTGGGCCACGGGGGGGGGCACGGCAGGTTCAACGTCGATCTTGCACGCTAATACATCGAGGCACTTATAAATAGTTTTTTTCGTTTCGGTGGACATTGTGAAAGCGAAAACGACAGCTTGGATAGGTGCTGATGGTCGATTAGCACAATGTTATCTGGCGGTGTGCAACATTAGAATGCCCCCATGCAACGTTACGAATGTATAGCAGCGTTATTAATTCCAGAGCAACGTTATCAAATACTTCGAAGTAAGAGCAACGTTGTCATAGATGAGCAACGTTAGTAAACTCCTTTTTCAGATGACAAGTACATAAGCAGCGTTATATTAGCAGTTTGAACTGAACAACGTTAGCGAACGACCCCAAGAGATCGAGGCTAACGGCACTACTTGTGAAGTTGCTGGCAGCACTCTTCCAGCAACACAGATAGTGTCGGCACGCAGTTTTAGTCAGTCGGAGTTGTGTTCGTGGCTTTGTTGGCAAGCTCATATGCGAGGTCGAGTTCTTGCTCCTGAAGCTCTTGCAATTCTGCGCAACTTGCTAGTGTAGAAAGCCAATCTCCACAAATTTGTCTCGGATGCATGATATGTCGTGGACGCGAAAGCGGACAAGCAACTCAGCAAGATGGCTAGCTGGTAGGGACACCGCATGACCACTGCTACTTGCGCTGGTTCTAAGAGCCCCGCAGTCCTTTATCGTTCTTCTTGTTATGTATGTTCATTTTCGGTGTACAGAGCACAAGGTCAATTTAAAGTGAACCAATGTCCGATTTGAATTGTCCCGGTGTCCATGAAATCCTAATGTCGAATTTGAAGCTTATGTGATATTTGAATAACCGATATACCAGTAGAAACCAGCTTAACGTTGCATAATGTGGATAAAGCTGCGCATGAGAACAGTTGTGACGTCGTAAACATATGGATGAATATCATCAATTCTCCGACCCTACTTAATTTTGGTATTGGTATTAATCATCAATCATCCATTTTTATTTAGTAGACAGCCAATCGTACGGTCTTGACAAGATGATTTGGCCAATCCAAATGGTAAGGGTTAGGTTGAACCTCGTTGGAGTTGGCTCCGACATATCGGGTCGGAGGGGACTCAGGAAATATGGATATGCTCTTACAAATTTCAATATGTAGGCATATCATATGCATAAAGTCATTTCTCCGACTTCTCCGACCAGTGCAATCATTACCACACATTAGTTTTAAATCTTACTTATTATTAATATGCCATTATGTAGTAGTAAATTTTAGAAGAGGTGGGTAGCAACGCCACAGGGAGCTTGCTCGTCATTAGGAACAACACATGCAACATCCCTGCGTGGAGATCCATTATTTTTATATTGCGTAGAGCATTATGTAGCAAGCGTCAATTAAATGTACATGTATTGCCTTATTAATTCTTGAGCACATCGACTCGCTGCCTCCTGTGCACCGCCCTGCCGCACTGCCACCGCCACGACACTGCCGCACTGCCACCGCCACGACACTGCCGCACTGCCGTCGCTCTGCCGCACTGCCACCGCCCTGCCGCTCTGCCGCCGCCCTGCCACCACCCTGCCACCGCTGCACTGCTACCGCCCACTCCTTTTTATTTGTGAATACATTTTCAATGTGGCCCACAGTTAAAAAAAAACTTAATATATTTGTTTTAAGAGTTACTGACTTAGATGTGCCGCCATTTATGTACAGGTCGGAGGTTGTCGGAGGTCGGAGATTTTATGGTATGGATTATTGTTGCAGGAATGCCTTTCGAAATTTTATACTTATTAATAACAGTAAGGTTGTTTCGTGCATTGGTGTAGTGTGAAATGGCTAGGCAAGCCTTGTACACACGCAATAGACTCTTGCATGCGTGCATCAGTCCATATGGCACTTGTAACTCACTAGAGTGTTCAACGTGAAGCTAGGCAACGGCAACCCTATAGTACTGGATAGGAAGAACAGATAGGCACGAGAAAGCAGAGCCCATGCGCTTGCTTTCCGCAGAATTGAATTTACTCGGCGACAAACAGTTTAGGAAGTGCCAGCTTCCCTATCCGTGTGTTCGAGTTATTTTCTTAAGCGAAACGCGTTACAAAGTCGACTTTAGTGAGAAACGTTTCACTGAAGAAATGGAGACCAGATCTCGCAAGGAGAACAGTACTGGGCAGGACCGAGAGCAGGGTGGGGGACTACCAATTTTCACACCTGTGCTACCCCCGGACATAACATCAACCTCACACGCCGCTCTGGTTCAATGGCGCACCGAGAGAAAGGTCTACGAGGACGTCATGAGAGCCCGTTGTCTGACTAGTGGAGAGGACTACGACACTGTCACTAGGTCAGTGAAGGACTCGTTTGACAGGAAGCTACTTGAGACTTGGTGCCGTCTCAGTGGCAAATCGCAGTTGAAGATGTCGATGACGCAAGGTTACGCGTTGAAATCGACACATCATCAGCTCTGTGAAGAACCACACGCTCCCAGACATTCAAGCTCTTTTTAAGAAGGAACTTCGTTTAGATCTGAAGGAGAGTGATGTGAACGAGCGGGTATTGCAATATTTCATGTCCTGTGATCGAATCATTGAAGAGCACGGGTTACAAGCCTGCTTTGATTCGGAAACGGGAGTAAAGGAGAAGTGCATTCTGTTGGTCGACTCAATCTCACCTGATGCGTTGAAGGAGGAGATAAGAAATGCATTGCGGTACCAATCACCGGAAGCCAAGACCAACGAGTGCAAGTTGCATGATGTGATTTTGGCCAAGGCTTTGGAGCAAGACAGAGAATTTCGAAAGTCCAAGCGACAGAAAACCTCCGAGGACACACAGAGCGTGAGACATACCCACCACAATAAACAAAAGCGCCGTGTCGAAACTGAACGACATGGTGAATGGAAAAACAAGAGCGATAGACGCAAATCAGACTCGCAATTTGAGAAAAAGCAGCCAACTCAGAATGCAAGACCCAAATCGACCGCATCCGTGCCTGATAAGGGGTGTTTGAAGTGCGGAGGATCTCATTGGGTATCTAAGTGTCCGATTGCGACTGATGCAGAAAAAAGGGACCTACCCAAGGAATACCATAAGAGCAAAGGAAAACAGAACGGGGCAAACATGAAGCGCCTGCGTGAGGACAGCTGAAATACGGCAGGCACTATTCTTGTGAATGGTGTCCTACGAATGCCTTACTGCGCTGACACTGGGTCAACTCGGTGTTTGATCAGTTTCAGGGCCGTGGAAAAGCTGAACGCAGCGACAGGCAGCGAAGTGCCGATAAGAAAACTGAGGACACCTATTAAGGGTCGTGCGGTTGGGGGGCATTGGGTCAAGGCTGGCAGAGCTGTAGATCTGGCTATCCAACTTGGAACGGCCGCGGGTGTTGTGGAGCCTCAGAAACCTATTGAATGTCTAGTCATTGAGGATGATGACGAAGAATTTATTGTAGGCTACTTGAGCAGCTGGCACAGCCACAAGTAGATGAGATTTGTGATCCGTACGAGAATGTCGAGGACAAACGCACCGAGCACCCAGATCTGTCGGGGATTTTGGAGCAACTGGGAACATTGGTCGATGACGCGATTCAGGCAGGGTTTCCAGTAGAGTTTCGACGAGAATTGGAAGAATTAGTGCGGAAACATGACATTTGGCGGATTGATCTTCGAAATGATCCTCCTGCACGAGTACCTGCATACGAACTCCGATTGAAAGAAGGAGCACGACCGTACAGATGCAAAGCAAGAAAGTATTCGCCAGCTCAAAGCAAATTCATGCGTGAATTTAACAGCAAGTTGGTGGAACTTGGGTGGGTGTATCGGAACCAGAGCAGTCGATGGGCGTGTCCTGCGTTACCAGTGCGGAAGCCAGGCACATATGAGTTCCGACAGGCCAATGACTACAAGCCAGTGAATGCTATAACAGAGCCGATAGCGGGGGTCATGCCAAATCTCGACGCCAAGCTGCATAACGCTCGACGCAAGAAACATTATGGACTTTTTGATTTTATCAAGGGTTTTTGGCAGCTGCCACTTGCGAAAGAGAGCCAAGAGATTTTATCTTACGCAACTGATGAAGGAATTTTCACTCCGACTAGAGTGCCACAAGGTAGTTGTGATGCAGCCCTTCATTTTCAAGCCACAATGGAGGGTTGTTTTGCTGATCTACTTTACGACTCATTGTTGATATGGATTGATGACCTGCTTTTGTATGCGGACACTATTGAAGAGTATCTGAAGGCAATGGAGATGTTGTTTGATAAGATGGCTTACTATGGATTGAAATTCAGCGTGACTAAGACATGTTTGTATCAGAAATCAGTGACATGGTGTGGCAAGGTTATTTCTGAGGAAGGTATCTCGCATGACCCAAAACGAGTAGAAGCATTGTCAACTATGCCTCCTCCAACGACGGCAGGGGAATTACAGCAGTTCATATGTGCTTCGAACTGGATGAGGGATAGTCTAGTCAACTACGCCCGAGCTATCCATCCGCTACAGCAACGTTTAGATCAAGCGCTAGAAGGAAAGCGAAAAACAAAGAGAGTAGCAGCGGGAATTTCACTGCGGTTAAGCAGCTCAGAGCTCGACAGTTTTAACCAAGTCAAACAGCTTTTGGCCAGCACAGCAATGCTGGCCCACCCGAAGGATGAAGCGACGTTCGCTTTATTTT